TAGAAGGAGTGCTTGCAGGTCATGCCCTTTACAGCAGCAAATCTATTGTTGATTTTGTCTTGGAATGCTGCACAAGTTTCCGGATTTTTTATCTTGGTGGTTTTGAATCTGACCTTCGCCCCTTTCCGTGCTGTTATCCGGGATATAATGAATTGTAGGCACACGGCCTTGCCACAGTCATGAAGTTGTCCGAGCCAGTGTCAGCTCCGGATCGTGTCCGGGTGTCGTGAAGGGCGCTTCGCCACATTCTGCTGACCAATAAGTGGTCCAGCTGGCCTCTGAAGCGGTCAGCTGGTGGATTTTGACGATGGGGAAACAGCGTACCGCCAGCAACGAGGCGGTGGATGGAACCAAGGTCTAACAGCCGCTGACCGTTTTTATTGTTCACGCCGACCTGCGCGTTCATGTCATCGACGACGATCGATGATTGATGATTTAGAAGAGAACCCAGAACTGCGTGTAAACACGCGTCCTTCCGTTGATCGCTGCAACGTCTTTGGGGGCGTGCATGATAATAACTTGTAAGACGATAAACAAACACCTGATCGGTCGTGTACTCGACGGAGACCAAGTCTTTCACTACTCGTGGCGATAGCAACACTGCCACTCCTGACTCGCATATTAAATGCTGGCTCCCTGGCCAGTGAAGCTGCCATCGATTTTATAGGCGACCGGAGTTTCTGAGATCGCAGCTAGGTCGAGATGACATTGCTTAGCTGTACGAATCATATCATATAACGTAATATCTCTGTTTAACATTCGCACGTTCCAACAGGCGATACGGGTCTTCTTGCTGATGTTCTCGGCTGGTCGTCAGATTTTTTTGGTGTTAAACATTTGGATCTGTAAATTTACGTCACCCATCGCACAGACGTCGCGTAACCTGGTCATGTAGCGGATCGAAAGCGCTACCCAGCCGCTTGCAAAAGCCTACAGCTGAACAATGAAAGCTTACTCCCTTCGTCGAACTTTTCCATCTCCTTTATTTGACTTAGTTTCCACCTCTTTTTCTGACTGTTAGGCGAAGAGGATTTGTTTTAGACGAACTGGTATTTGTATTTCTCTATTTCTCCAAGTTTATGTTATTCATGGTCCATCATCTCTATGTTGTTGTTTAGATTTGGTGAAAGATAGCATTGAAAAATGTCTTCTGGTAAAGACTTGGAAATGATCAAAATGAAAGACAGTGAAGAGGAAAGTCGTCTTCAGGAAAAGTTAGTCGATAGCGGACCTCCGAATCAAGAGGCCTTGAAGGTGAGCATTAAAATTAGCATTAGTTTTCTGTCTGAACGTCTTTACTTTTAAACTTGTAAATTGTGTACTCATTGAAAAATATTTTCGCTAAGGTATGCTAAAAAGTATGACGAAAGTGCTGTAAAAGTTACACATGCCAGTCCTACATGAACAGCATAGTACTTTGCATATCCGGCTTGTTGATACATGATGCAATATAATGGCCTGTCGAATAATAGGTGGATACCGAAGTCGCATATTGTATCGGCTGACTTTCTTCGAAGTAAATCCGTTTGCCCCTGGAAGTTTTCAAAATTTGGTGCTGTTTAAGCATAAAAATTATGTTCGTACACTGAAGCATGTTTATTGGAACGTAACTCCTCCGCGATCAAAATTCGCTTCGTATTGCACCGTTTACAGGTCCTTGATCCCTCGTTCCAGATAGCATGTAGTTGCTTCGCAAACAAAATGAAGCGAGGTACATCGAACTATGCCGTTTTTCAAACACTATGGAAATTTTAGATTACGTAAAAGAACATAAATATGTAATGAATGGATAACTATTATTTTAATGGTTACGTGAACCTTTTGCCAGTTTAAACAAATAAATAGGATCTAGTGCATGGCTGTAACATCAGTATGCATATTTAGGTTCGAAAAGGTC